AAGGGGGGAGTCAACGTACCTTGCATCAATGCCCACAACGATTGTGCGGGTACCATGTCGGTTGGTTTCAAATCCTTCAGCAATTGTAAATTGCAGCAATGACCGTAGTTTTGCTGCTGCTTCAACAAGCTGTGATTGTTGGTTAGAACACCTGTAAAAAGGATGGTGGGCAAATACCTTCCACAGCAATGCAACTCCCATGGTCGTCCTCGTCGAGGCATTTGTGAGACACCAATGACGAGCATCCACAGCAAACAAAGCTCAACATCCAGCCACAGCGATGGAGACCAGGAAAGTCCTTTGTTTTGCGTTTGGGTATCCATGCAGTTAATATTGCCACGTCAACGAGTAGGCGGCTATCCAGAGGACGACGTGAGTGATGTTGAAACTTGAATGTTGAACGTTGAGCATCAGCGCTCAGCACTTGCTGATGCGCTCGTTGATAGGAACACACACACGTGCACACAAATACATCAGCAAAACGTCCAATTATACTTTGGTAACTTACAGTGCTTTGCATTGCCGTCTGCACACCGAAATCGCGAAAATTGTGTTTGGTTTTGTATGTTCGTCACAGATTGTCACGCATCAGGACAACTTTGGGAATTTTGAATTTCTCAAACCCAACTTTTCCTGCGCCTCAGGTATCGGATGAGATGCGCGCGCGAATCATTGTTTGCCATGATGAGCAACAGCTTTCACCGCAGGAGATTGCAGGCCTTGTTGGATGTTGCGTCCGGTAAGCGGTCTCTTACTTCCTGATTTGAGGGTCACGGTACAACACACACAAACACGATTTCCAAAACTCGTTGTGCAAACGGCAATGCAAAGCACTGTAGACTTTGATGTTAGCAACTTTGAGCAACTATTTCAACTTTACCATGAACTTTCACTTCGAGAATACATCTTTGACTTTGATTTCTACTCTTTGAACTACTTTATGAACGTCTTTCACTTTGGAGTTAAAACTTTGAAAGGAGGCTAAAAATTATAAAATTACAAGTTAGAAGGCTATCTCATGTACATTGCATGTACGTGGTTTTCTCGCGAGAGTGACTTCCTCCAAAATGTCGGCATCCACAGCTCCTCCTTCTATGCCAGTGAGCAGGGAAACATATCACCCATACCACCTTACTGATGTGTCTTTTTTCTAGACTGGGCCAACCGTCTTCTCTTATGCTCCCAACAAGTCGTGAATGTTCCCGAGATCACCCGCCGTCTCGGAGTTATCGCCATGAATACCCCCCTCCGATACCTTGGTAACAGCACTTTGTCACAGATACACCTGTGAACACCCATCGTCGTCTGTGTCAAGCGGACTGCTTGTGAGGGTAAACAATCAGTACGTGCATGATGGATGAAGCAATGTAAGTACTCACCTGTCATGACCTTCTTTCATTCCTCACGACCCTATCCCAGTTCGTAAATGCGAAACGCCAGCTGTCCGTAGCGTATCCGCTCGTTTCCCACACTCCTGCGTCCTTCCCGTAGCATTTACGCGTTGGGTTTGATTGTTGCGCTTTCGTGTACGCGTTATCTTGGTTTTGTTCGTCTGATCACGTATCTATTCACCCGTAAATCCTCGTGTCGAGCGGAATGCTTGTGAGGGTGGAGTGTGCGCAGAGAGCTGAATCTGATGGCAAGCAAGGTTATATCTAGCAGCCAAAGTAAGTCCTCAAATGCGAATAGAGGAACGAAGTAACGTACCTGTGTAAGGTTTGGCCCGGGCAAGAAGATGCACGCTGTTTGTTTTTGCACAAGTTGAACTGCCCGGCCCTCATGAGAATGCGATCACGGGTTCACGTGACCTTGGTTCAAGAGAAATTTTTGGTGTTCGCGCACTCTTTCTTCCTTCCCCACCAGCTCTTCCGTTCGCTCTCTTCGCTCATTGGTCGCCACGCACCCTCTTCTCGGCCTGTCTCACCCTCACGGTCCTCTTGTGCCCCTACCACTCCTCCGCTTGTTCACAGACTTCAAGTCTCGCTTTCAGATGGCAACCCATTTGAACCGCAATCCGCGCCTTAGCCGCTTAGAATGATATATCTCGTAAGTGTTTGTTTATCTGTTCCTGCAAACTCTTCTTGAAATTACTGTCTTTCTGGACAGCTCATCATATCTCGCCTCAACAGCAACAACCCGAGTTTGGAGCAGTAGTCCTCTCTCACAGTATGGATCTTTCTCTTTAATCTCTGTATTCGTCTAAATCTAACACTCATCCTCGCAGGCTATTTTATACTTTGGTCAGCAGTCAACTCTTGTGAAACATGCAGTGGGGGAAACGAAGCCGTAAGACGCGTGGACTGTGTAAGTTTTTTCTCCTGTCTCCCTCGCGGATGGGTTATTGATTTGACTTCTCTTCTTATATAGTTCTCATCGCCAATCCAGCCTTTCGTCGTGAGCGTGGGAGGTTGGAGCATTGGTGCAGGGGACCACAACGTCGTTTCACCCTCATATTTATGACATACTGATGTGTCTCCTTGCTCCCCCAGACCACGAAACGAACTATACGACCACCACTACCACAACCAAGACACGACGACCACGAAGACGACCACAACGTGTTCACGACAACCATCGCGAACCACGACCACAATGAATCCACGCCAACATGACCACAACCATGCGCATCCGCAACCACGCCCACGCAACCATGCCAATGCAACCACGACCACGCCCAGGTGCGATCTCACAGCTCCTGCAGACCACCGAGCGAACTCCATAGGATAGCGGCAGCGTGCAGGTCGAGAGCGGCGACTGGATGGATGTAGGCGAGAAGCCTCCGGATTAGCGTCTAGCTAGGGCTTTATCTAGAACACATCTACTGTATTAGATACTGAACATCAATGCTATTCCTTTCTCCTGTTCCATGCCATCCTTCTTGAGATCCAAAGTCACTAAATAAGTTCATCAAAGTACACAAGCAAAGGTGCTACTGAAAGATGGATTCCCAACTTCAGAAAGTTGTCGAACAACTTTCAAAGTTGGTTCAACAACTTTCAAAGTTGCTCGAAAACTTTCAAAGTTATTGTACCTTACTTTACAAAGTTGTCGAACTTTGGCAACTTTGGCAACTTTACAACTTTGCAAAGTTGCGAAAGTTGCTCAAAGTTCAATTGGACGTTTTGCTGATGTAGAATCAACGCGACGCGTCGCGTCGCGTCAATGATTATAATTTTGCATCAAATGGAACATTGAACACTGTAGTCCCTGTAGCCCTATACACATCTTTCGAGGGTTTTTGTTGTCTGAAGAGGAATCCCAACTATCCGTGTTATGAATACAGATGCACGCGGGAATTAACACACAGGAAACTAGCAGAAAACATGTATTGAGAGGTGGGTAAGTTGTGGTAAGAAGCCGTAAGAACTTACGCACCCAGAATTTACGGTAAATTAGGTTCAATTTACAGGGATTTACGGTGAGCTGGTGCGGTCCAGGAGCCGAACGGTCGAAATTACAGTGAGCTGGACCCTAATGATTGATTTACAGTGAGCCGGCATGCTATCGAACCCTGATTTACGGGGAGTAAACCTTTGGCCAAGCATTCCCTAGCATTCCATCCCTGTACAGTCTGAAGTGCATCACAGATCTATCTCCTTACCACACCCATTCAGAAGCTTGGCACTCCCTTTTTCCAGAGACTCAAAAACAAGCAACGTTAGATTATTAAGATACATGAACTACTTCTACTCGGATGTACCCCAACAGCAACAAAAAAAAACCTTGAGGGCATCCCAAGACTCACCCTGTACAATCCGGGAGTAAGTAGAACGCCAGAATGAAGGAATCTACCTCAATCCCATGATCGCCGTCTTGCTGAGTGGTGCGCGCCGGCACGCCGTCGTCAAAATCTCCAAGTGTGAAGCATTGACCGTGGTCCCGGAACCCATAATCAGAGTTGAAGTCTTCAATACCTCCACTTCGCTGCGAGCCGAGCGGGGGTAACCACAGGCCAAATCCTCAGAGTCGATGTCGGTCACAAGAGAGTGCTCAGCGAATTGTGCGGCGAGTAGACAACCATGGAACTGTGTCGCCGAAACAGGAAAGCAAGCGGTCCGTGAAGGGAACGCGGAGAGGAAGGTGGGGCGTGAGGATGCTTGAAATGTGACTTGAGTGATAGTCTGCGTCGTAAGTGAATCCAGCGTGTCACCAGGGAGGAATCGAACTTGATCCAACACCTGGTATGGAAAGGTTGAGAATGATGAAAAAGAGGGATATTGGAGACAAACCACATAGAATAGAGAAACCGCGATGGGCCTTGGCAACGTTGTTGAAAATTCCCTGTATCAACACAATCTCCCCTACACCAGCACCTCCAAACAGACCAATCTTTCCACCATGAGCATAAGGGGCAAGGAGATAACGACCTGGATACCAGTTGCCAAAACCTCAGCAGTCCTCGACTGGTTGAAGGAGGGAGGATCAGCATGAATGGGGCTGAGTTTGACACCCTTGATAGGGCCACGCTCATCAATGGGTTCTCCAATGACATTCATGATGTGTCCGAGCGTAGTGGTGTCGACTGGAAACATGACGGGGAAGCCGGTATCCACTTTTGTTCCACGGACAAGACCCTCGGTACCATCCATGGCAACAGAGCGGACAGAGTTTTCGCCCCCCCGAATGAGAAGCAATGCCAAGGACGAGACGACCGCCACTGAAGTTTTGGACCTCAAGAGCGTTAAGGATTGGCGGGTTGACACTCAGACGGCTGTGCGTTGTTCGACACCTTGCTGCTGAGCGCTGAGTGCCGACGAGCGGAATGCGATTTCGAGGCTGAATAGGGAAGTGGACTGGTGGACGAGTATGTGCAGCAAATGTGCAGGCGGATAAAGTGACTTACAGGTATTGCTCGGCAAGGTAGTTGGTTGGTAGCTAAACCAAATGCAGATGATGGGCCGCCAGGGACGTTAAGCGAAGAATCCGGCCAAAGGCGATTTTACAAAATTTATGGTACCCCTGTAAATTGGTACGGATAAAGTGACTTATTATGGCAGCGAGGCGACAGCATAAGCGCCAATGCCTCGTGGATGACGATCGATGAAGGCATGTCCGATAACTCTTTCCTTCAATCGTCCATCTTGCTCACGCTTCAATAGGTGCGGTTGGAAGCAGCTATGTCTACTCTGCCTAGTCATGATCATACGTCCAGTTCCACTCCCTCCTTAGACGGCAGAGGGGGTGCAATGAATCCAGTTGGTTTGATAGCGTACGTTTAGTGGAGCGATCTTCGTTGCATGTTGAGCTGACCTACTCGACGGCAACTCTCATCAAAGGTTGCAACTTGAAAAAACTTGCGAAGATCTCACAGCTACTGTGTCTGACTTAGCTCGATCCCTGAGTAGGCTACGGGCGACGAACGAGAAAGATGTGTTGGCACGAACGGAACTTGCGCAGAGACACAGCAAGACACTGTCTGATCTTGCGGAAGCGAAATCGAAGATAGCCCACTTGGAGTTGCAATTGAAAATATCGCAGGAAGCGCAGCCTGACAAGAAAATGGCATCTGATCATACGTCCAGTTCCACTCCCTCTTCAGACGGCAAAGGAGGTACAGATTCAGCAGCAAAGGGAAGAAAGTCAACGAAAAGAATGGGTTCTGGCTATAGTACGCCATATTGCGAAAGCTCTACCGCCAGCTTCGATGGCCTAATTTACTCACGCAGTATATTACCGTCTATACACCACAATAGGCGCATTCGAATCAAATCACCATCTCTACAAGAACAATCGTTTCATTGGTCGCGTTCCAGCGAAGTCTTTTCCCCCTCCTCATACCGTAGCGTCTATCAAGCTGTTCTTGTGCGAACTGGAGCACCTTTCGGAGCCCGACAAGGCGCTTGTCTTCACACCGCTCTCAAGCCCAGCACCCAAAGAAGATTCTGCCCGCCTCTCTTTGAGTGCTCCTTCCGGACCAGGCCTGTCTGAACAAGATCCGATTGCGTTGGTGGTCAAGTCGGAGAAGAGGACCAAGGAGGTCTCGCAATCAGAGAAACTGCCGGAACGCTCTGATGATACCGATATACATTACGGCAAGTTTTGCCAACGTCTCTTACTCATATAGTGCACTCATCAGCTTTACAGTATACTATCGCGTCTACTTATCAGGGGGAAGAGGAAATAAAGAGGCAAAGACGTCTTTTGAGGAAAGTGATAGTTCGTTAGGACGCATCAACACCCTCTCCATCGCTCCCCCTCACACTGCTGGGTCTCTGAAAGCGTGTATCGCACAAGTTGAAGACCTCGTAATACCGAATCATCGACTACACAAGTACATGGAACTCTTCCAAGACATAAATAGTGATGCTGCTATGAGCGATAGCGATGTCATATCCTTCCAAAGCGACACTTATCCAGGTAGCGATGAAGGTGATCCCGTAGTCCTTGTCAATGCAACCGCCAATACAGGTAAAGTTCTCAGTGATTATCACTAGACACTCCGGCAACAAACCGTGCTCCTTCAGATGTACCAGATTCAAATTTCACGAAACGCGCTCGGTTGAGTAGTACTGCCAGTGAGTAACAGTTCCTGAGATAATCCGATTCTCATTCTATAGGATCCCGCCGCAGACTACAATAAATATGATTCCGCCTGGCTATCAACAACCAAAGGTGAGATTGTTCACACGGATGGAGTTATTCTCTCCAAAAATTACTCCCCCAACGGTGACAGCAGTATTTCTTTCCTTTTCTGCTTCGTCACCAGTTTGTTGATGCTTTGTCGGAACAGTGTCTTGGGCAGGATACATGGCGATCAATTCCAAGGGTGAAAAAGGCTGTGAGTCTCCAATTTGCCTTTGAGTCACTAGGTGGTTATTGATTTTCTTTGGCAGTTGTGCACCAGAGTGAGTGGTCTCCTCCCTTTGTCGGGGTATTTGATATTCATCGTTTTGCTAGTTTATATTACTTTGATTGATCGCTGAATATCTGAGAGGGTGTATGCTTTCGGAATGGGATATGTCAGGATTTAGGCTCGGAAGGGGTCGATGTACCAGTACCGTAGATTTGTTGTACATATATATGTGACACAAGAAACGAGGATCTGATCATGAAAAACGGCATCGCGCAAGTTAACTTGCAACTGTCAACCGTTGATCCTTTCGACTGCTCTGTTTCAAAGATTCAAACGATACATAAGATATAAGTAAGAGATATACACGAACAAAAAACCCAAAACGCTCGGTTCATTTATTCAATTCCTCGTCAGCATCAGTCAAACAGAGATCGTGCAAAAAAGTCGTAAAAGTCGTAAAGTCACAAGACCGCAAAGCATCTCCCACCCTCAAATTTAGTCAACGCTACCTCCTCCCCCTCCTCCTCAACCAACTCCAAATCCCAACCCCAGTCAACCTCCTCACAAGCACCTTCAACACAACAGCACACACGCCAATACCCACGAGTACGAGGTAACTCCCTCGTCCACCTGTTGATAGGTATAGATCGCGTCGGGCTTCCCAGTCGTGTCTGGGTCTTCTTTGAGTAGGGGTGGTGGTGGGAGAATACGAGTTGGAGGAGGAGGAAGAAGAGCTTGAGTTGGAGGAGGAAAAGAGGAAGGAAGACGTTTTGTCGCCTAATACACGAAAGACCACAGACCGAAGAAGAGTGATGGGCCATGAATTCTTCGAACCAAGTGCCGAAGTGGACGCAAGTCGAGCATCACGCGTTTCCTCGAGCTCTTCAACCCGTTTGGAACGTTCTTCAAGCTCGCATGCTGTCTGATCAAGCGCCCGTCCTCGCTCATCAATTGCCCGTTCTCGCTCATCAAGTGCTCGTTCTCGCTCATCAACCACCCTCTCCCTCTCCTCCACTTCCTTCTCCCTCCTATCAACCGCCATCTCCCTCCGCCCAACAGCCTCCTCCCTCCCCTCCACCTCCCTCTCCCTCTTCCCAACAGCATCCTCACGTCGCCCAACCACCTCCTCACGAAACCCAACACCCCTCTGCACCTCCCCAACCCTCTCCTCCACCCCCTCAATCCTCGCCTGTCGAGCCGCCAGCCCGAGCTCACGTTGGTCGAGGGCTTCTTGGCGGGTTGCGAGGTCGTGTTCTGTTGTGTGGGAGTCCAAGTCCAAGTCCAAGTCCAAGGTCGAGTGCGCGCCCGGATCCAGAGCTGAAAAATCATCGACATCTTGAGGCTCTAGGGAGTGCGAGTCCACGGCAGAGTGTGAGTCCACGGCAGAGTGCGCGCCCAGGTCCAGAGTTGAAGCATCTCCAGACCCCACTAACGCGGATGCTCCTCGCCCACCACGAGGCGGCTCAAGATCGAAAACACTCCATAAATCTGGTTTCCTCTCCTCTAGATCTCCCCCATCTTCCCTTTCCTTATCCCCCTCATTCGCGTTCGGTTTCTCTTCTTCGTTCGCGCTCTCCTTCCCTGCCCCTTCGTCTCCATCATTCTCCTTTTCCTCAATAGATTGACCCCCCTCAACCTTCGCACGAATCAAGTTCCTCCCCCTGCCCGTCCTAACAACCCCACTTGTAACACCAGCAGCAGACCCAGCACGCTTAACAGTCTCGCCCAACTCCAACTCCCACGCTTCCGCTCCCTTTACTGTTATTGGGTGTGCGGGGGAGAGGAGGAGGAGGTCCCTCATGCTCGGTTCGTCGTCTTCGTCCACACCACCGTCGGATAATGGGGATGGGGATGGAGAAGGGGCGGTGTCGTACCCTCCTTCCGTTTCCGTTTCCGTTTCTGGCTCAGGAACGGATGTATCTCTCAAAACACCATCACCAGTCAGAACGTCAAAATACCCAACCAACCCCTCAACACCAATACCAGGTCGTGGCCTAGGATGATGTATCACGCTCCCAGAACCCGTCACCGTCGTCGTCACACCACCAGCAGGTGGGTGTTGTTGTCCTGTATGCGGTGGAAGAGGAAGCGGACGCGCATGTTGGCCTGGACCGCCTATGCCTAACAGTATCGGAATCGCACCTGTTGGGAGGGACGATAGAGGTAGAGGTAGAGGGAGCCGATATCCAAGCTCATACAACCCCGCTGCGTCCATTAAACTCGGAGTAGAGCCTGTATGGACGGGCGTAAGCAAGGGCGGGTAAGGCAGGAGCCGAGCGGGGGATTTGATGGTTTCTTCTCCTCCTTCCGTTCGTGTGTCTTCCCTCGTATTGGCGCTAACACCAGGACTAGGAACGGAGAATAGATCATGTACTGTCCCCCGTGAAGGAAGTGCGCGTTGAGTCTTATTGGGCGAATACGAATAAGAATAAGACGCGGGTTCTTTAGAAGGGGAATAAGAGGCGGAATGGCGTTGGTTCTTGTTCGGTGAACTTGAACTTCTTCCTCCGTCTTCGTCGTCGTCTGAGCTTGGAGATCGTTCTAGGGAGGCTATCATGTCTTTCACCCTCCCATTGCTGTTGGAGGTCGAATCTATGCTTGTGTTTCTGCTCCTCCTTCCTTTGTTAACATTGGCGGAGTTGGAGGAAAAGTCGTCGTGCTGTGAAGAGTGCCCCCATATCCGGTCTCGGAGGGCGTTCTGACGGAGGGAGCGGGAGGCGGAGAGGAGGGTGGTGTGGTGGGGTTTGGGTGGTTCGGACCTCTCCAATCATTGGCATTAGGTAGAAATAAAAACGAAAGAGTGAGAGATGCGTACCCCCCCAAATCACCCTCATTCAACCTCAAAAACATCTTCCCCGTCACCTGTCTCTCCTTAACAAACGCAACGATCTCACGCGTCGGAACCTCCCCACCGCGAAGAGTAGCGGAGAGGTACGCGGCTAGGTGTGTCGCTGACCACGTTTTAGGGTCTTCGGGTAATTTGAGGGCGGGTATGCTAGACGAAGGAAGGGTATCAGCGCGTTTTGTTCTTGGACGGATGCGCGGGGTATTATCGTCTTCTTCATCTGCACCGTGAAGGAGACGGAGACGGGGGCCTTGAAGGGTACAGGCAATGACCTAGGTTCCTCCGAGGTCAGGCTCCGACTGCATCTATGCCTGCTCTCTCTGTGAGGTTTATACTTCGTAGGACTTGAAGAAGGCGTAGACGGGACGTAGTGGTGCTGTGTGAGTGTGGTACCATGGACTTGGTGGTACGATGAAGAGGAGAAGGGGGAAACGATGCCTGTGGATGTCGTTTTTATGGCGTAGGGGTGTGCGTTTGATGAGGGTTACATTTGGGGATGATCATGGAAGCGTCTTTGACTCTTTGGTGAGTGAACTGGCGGGGAATGAAGAGGTGGATGGCGTGGATGTCGAAAATATAGTGATGTCACTGCCAAGGTTCGATTCTTGACTTGCGAGTCGTTACGCGCAACAGTCGACATTCTCAGACTCTGTAGTGGCGAGTCGTCGGGACTAACGTTAGGAGTTGACTTGCACAATGATACCTACGTGAATTATACTTGACTGCATATATGTTGTACCGTAATATACAAGATGATTTGAGGGTAGCCAGTGGTGTTTCGTGAAGTAGCATAGAATCAACACATCGGAGAGGCCAATGAGAAAAGAACGAAAACAAAAAGAATGTTCGAAAGGTTCAAGCCGACCGAGTTACACACTCGCTGAACCGGAAACTTCGTCAATATTTTACAAAACGTGATAGGAGCCAGAAGAAACTCACACCACGCCGATACCTTTTCTGCCATGTCAACTCCATAATCCACGTCGGTCTAGCGCTCTTCAGCACTTGGAACTGATGCCCTGGCAGGTGAGGGTGCGAATACCCTGCTTGGATCGGACGCCAGGTACCACCTGTCTCGCCGCTCCCAGATCCACACGTTGAATTAGATGGTCCTTGCCAATGTAGATACAAATCCTCAGGCTCAAAGGTCCAACATGGGGTTGCGAAGGTGGGA